GTCCAATAACCCATCAACTGGCGGAGTATCTTCAGTCCACTCTTGATCCAACTTGTCCCAGTTAATGCGGCTCAAGCCATCGACCCTGTTCTTGTCCCCTGGAATTCTTTCCAATTCAAAGTTAAACATCCAAATGTATGTCAACCATTGAGCGACGGTTGGGTCAGATGGAGTATAATTCTTCAGGGAACAAGCGAGCACAGTGGGATCCACCCTCAGTATGAACCCCCTGCCAAAAACATAGTTCCGGAAGCAATGGAGTATTGCAAGCGTCTCCTTTTTAAACCGAGAGTAGTTCCTCTCGGTCGCATTAAGAGCCCTACTTTCAAATTTTAGCGGCCTCTCCGTTCCTTCAGCATCCGCGTGAATTAGGACTCCTCCCAAGGCAGTCGTCCCAGCGTCCGTCTTGATGACGAAAGGTTTTTCCTCAATCACTTCATAATTAGGCGCCCCCAATACTAACCCTCCTTCCTTGAATTCTCCCCTCATCTGGGTCACTGCCTCTTCCTGATCTTCACCCCAAACCCATTCCTGATCCTGACGCACTGGTTTCCTTAAATGCTCAGTCTTGGCGGCAAAAATCTTCAGAAAGCTCCTCCAAAATCCACAGGTGCCAAGAAAGTTTCTCACATCCGTTATGGAGTGAAAAGGTACTGACCACTCTAAGATTTTGTATGTTTTTTTTTACATCCGGCCTTCGACTTGTCTCATTACAGACAAAACCCAAAATGGTAGTTTCTTTCATGCAGTGCTTAGATTTTGGACCACTCGCGGTAAGGTTGTATTCCTCCGGCAGGCTCAGAACCCGATCCAGGTCCTGGATATGCTTCCAGACAAAATACATTACTCTAGGCATCACTTCGTCCTCCTCTTTCTCTTTTGGGCCTTTGACCGCCAAGTCATCAATATACGGCTGAGTGATGTGTGGGCTAACTGTCTACATGACTCTGATCATATGTCACTGCACCATTGCCACTGCATTGGTTCAACCCTGAGGGGCCACATTTATATGAATCAGCCCTCTCGGCGTGTGCATCGCTGTTACCGGCCTATCCGGCGGGTATACAGGAAATTGGTCATACCCAGAACAAAGGTCTATAAGCGTAATGATAGGCTTCCCTGCACACGACTCTGACAATGCATCCGCATTCGGCAAGCCCCTCTTGTCTCTCACTGTCACCGCATTCAGCCGGTGCAGGTCCTGTACCCATTGTAGTGTCCCGTTTGGCTTAATAAAGCAAAACCAAGGGGATGCATACGGTCCACTAGAATAGCCTCGGACTCTTCCCGAAGCCTCCGTCGCTCATTCTCTGATTCTACAAAAGTGAATGAGCCGGGATTAAGCCTATTTCTCTTGCTCACTTGCCCTGTGTTTCGGCAGGTGATAACTTCATAGTTCCTTCAAGCCCGATCACTCATGAGCAGTATCATCGTCCCATAGTGCTTGTTAAAGATCAAAGTCTCCGTCCTGCACATGAACGATCTTCTCAGGAGGATAGGGTGGTCGACGTCCGGCATAACAAAGAAGCAAGTCCTTGCCCGTACCTTACCAATTTTTATAATCACATTGGATGTCGTGCCACAGAAAACTGTCTTGCAATTAGCTCTATGCAATATGCCATGGTCCGCACGGTCAATCTCTAATCCGAGCATGAGGGCATCCCTTTCTCTGATGATGTTCGCATGTATCCATCATTGCAACACACTTCTTCTCTTTCACCACCAAATCCACCAACCCGCATGCCGCACACTTCCAGTCCATCCTTGTTCCAACTTTTGTCCATCCTACCTCCCTTGCCAGGATCGCACTTAGATGGACGTTGGACATTAACCTCCGAGATAATCGTCCCTTTAAACCATCTCGGAGCCTCGGGGTGGACGCCAGAATATCTTTTAGGTTCATGAGGTAGTTATGACCTTTGAGGAGCCTATCCACCATTCTCTCCACATCAAAGCCTTCTTCTAGCCTGACTGCATACTTCCTTTTCTTAGGTACGCTGTCCTGCTGGCTCGACTCGGTTTCCTCCCGGATCCCTCTCCTTTGGACCCTTAATTTTGTCCGTCGATCCTCCTCTTGTCGGAGCCTCTCGTCCTCCGTATCGTCATCCTCTTCTTCTTCTTTTTCCGAGACCTCCACCACTTCTTTCCTACGCTCGGACTCAGGTCTCCTTCGAGGAGGTGCATGACTCAGCGCCTGGCTAGGGCCAGCCTTACTTTGACTCCTGGTTTGCGCTGCCTGTGGTGCCCGCCCATGCGGGGTGGGTGGCCTAAACGTCATCCCTGACCTAGGGCCCGACCCTATCGTCGCGACCCCGGGATAGCTTTGCTGCCCTGACGCTGATCCCGACCCGGATTCGTAGAGGAAGACTCTGGGGAGGTTGGCCTTCCACTCCTGGGCCTCATCACGCAACTCCTTTAGCTTTTGCTGGTATCTTCCCACCTCCCCAACAGGTCCTCCATTTTCTCCAGGATTGTTATGGCCGACTCTTCCACCTCCCTTGAATCCTCGTCATCTGACTCAACGATTATTGACTCTTCCTTTATAGTCCCAGCCTTTAATCGTTGGGTTACCTCCTCAGTCTCCCCCATAACCTCTTCGACTCTCACGGGCAGGTCCTCCCTTTCCTGCCATAATCTGAACATTGTCAGGGGCGCTGAGTCGCCGACCCTGCCGCTGCTCGCCTTTGGGCTTCCTGTCTAACTCCACTCGGAATCTTCGGGTCAATATACTGCCCAAATTTATCATATATATCCCCATCCATGTTTGTGAATATTAGACCAGCGAGCTCATCGTCCCGCTGCTGTTGGCAAAACCATATGGTGTGGCCCACAATGCCACAATGCCGGTAGATATCATTCCACCAATCAAAGGGGGGCCTTCCGTATCCTTAGCCCCCTTCTTGACTGCCTTGATTGCCTTGGCCCTAACCCCCTTGGCCATTCCATCCACTACCGCGTCCCCCGCCGTTCCTTCCTCGGTCGCCAACCCCTCGACCTCCTTGTCCTCGACCACCATTGCCTTGCCCTCCTTGCACTTGACCTCCTCCTCCCGCCACGCTAGCCTGCGAAGCTTGCTGCGAGGTGGGAGGCTGGGCCGTGAACTGACCTTGGGTCGCTGGGAAACTTGGTGGCCCTGCACTCGCCGATGGACCCGAATATGGCATCATCTGTCCTGAGGGAGTTTGGCCCCCTCCACACGAGCTGCAGTGATTACACCTAGGCCAGGGTGTCAGTTGGCAATAAGGCATCCAAGGTCCATAGGCTGGCGGCGGCCCCATTTGCGAAGGCCCGGCTGACACATGTGCAGCTGTGGCGACGGCTGGCGATGCAGCGATTGCCTGCGGAATCTGTCCCTTTACAGAGCCTTGTCCCCCTAGCAGCAAGTAAGAACTTGGGACCCCGTCTCCTCCTCACCGTAGTTTTCCTGCCTGGTTTCTCCTTCCCCTACCTTTGTTCCCCCACTTTGGACTACGGTCACCATCTTTTTCTACACCTCGGTATCCTTGTCATAGCCCAGTTCCGCAAGCACGTAAGTAACAATCCTTTTTACACCTGGGGTTCTAGATGCAGTGGCGTCCCTTTCCTTTCTCTTCCTCCTCTGCAAACGCATCTGAGGTCGTTCTACCTGTTCCAGGCTCCCATCCTCTGCTCCCTTATCAATAGTGGCCCAGGTAAGCTTCCCACTTCCCCCTCCATGGCTCGTCAATTCTGAGGCCTCTGATGCGGTAAGCAGTCTTAGAAAGATGACACATTGCGGCTCTTCTGAGATTCCATGAGCTTTCCTCGCCCTTTTCTTGAACTCTTGCACAAACGCCCCTATCGTAGTGAAGTCATCCTTATTCATGGCTTCAAGGTCCGCGGTTGTCAGCAACCCATCGCCCAACCGATACTTGCGCTGCATGCCATCTCTAAACCTTGCCCAACTGCCATTGGATGCATTTATGACATTTTCTACCTCTTGATGATGACCATGGAGCACATACTTCAAGATGCGCTGGAACTTTACTGGATCTGATAGCCCCACTAACGCTTGCTCCACCAGATCCAACCAATCTGAGACCCTTCCTCCACTGAAATGGAAGGTGTCAACCTTCGGGACATTGCTTGACGTCTTCTCATGCCTGTCAATGGCCGCAATAAGGTCTTCCAGTGTGAGGACCTTTCCCATACCATCCACTAAACCACTGGGCTCCGGCATCTTGACAGACATCTCTTTTCAACTTCCTGTAAAAGAAAAACAAAAAACTAGCCTATTCAACGATCTACCTCAGCGAGATCTCCACCGTATGTTCTATCTAGTTTCCCCATGATATCTTCTTTACTAGGTATGGTTGTCCTTCATAGAATCTTAGCCTTTCTAAGCTAGGCAGGCAACCAACCAACTTAGGGGTCGCTAGACTTTCTTTATTCGTACTCAATCATGTACAAACCAACCTACACTCTCATTTTCCTTCCTATGCCTACTTCCTTCTCATTCTCATACCCGGATGTCGTTCCACCAGGGACAACGGTAGGCTTCCGTTATCCCCGGCAACGGCGCCACCTGTCGAGTGCATCGGTCCGACACCGCACGAGGCAGCGCGGGACCCTCTCGGTCGTGTCACGCAGGAGTTGGTCTAAATTCTTGTCACAAATACACATGGAGCTTCCACAAGCCGCTCTGGCCGAGTGCGCCAACCATAGCTCTCGCGAGCCCCTATGACAGGATAGGGCCTACGCGAGGCACGGCTTACCTCCACCTTACGGGAGCTGTCACCTCCCTTCGGTGGGCGTATCCCCGCCGAGCTACCAGTCCACAGTACGAAAGTTGATCAGCTGCAATCGCAAAGGTGGACCAGCCGAGGGTGTTTCTCGTTCACTGTAGCATAGGGGGTATGCGCGGTATTACACCTATCGGACCCGCACGCGAACCGACATCTTGGGGGGCTGAAGTCCCAAGCGCGACTCGCCGTCGGTCGACTAGGACGCATCCCACTCACCACAGGCACGCTACTCTAACAGACAAAAAAATAAAACACACATACGTACTCACACATACAAACAATGACAATGAACAAACAACACGATAACACTCATAGTCCCTTCAGTAGCCATCCCATAACTTTCTGACGCAAAAATCAGATAGGCGTCGCGCGCGAGACTTAGTATAAAACTGCGTGGACACAAGGCCTACTCATATCGACTAGCAATGCAATCATTCGCAAGCAGTCGCAATGATGGCGTACTATGTAGTACCCATGCTCATGCGGTCCTCGTTAGTCTCGAGGGTCACATTCGACAATCAAGTGTCGGCTGACACGCGCCTTGAAGGTTAATCTCTCGGCGTTGGACAACCGCCAAGTGCGGTTGAGAACCACACCTTCTTTTGCGCCCTGCGGAGAGTGGCTTACCAAGATTTATACAAGCCCAAGTATAATAAGTGATCTCAGCAATGCAAAAATTGATCTAAGTAAAAAAAAAAAAAAACTATCTCAGAAAATGCAAGAATTGAATCTAACTCCTATCGTTCTAGCACGTGGCGAGCCACTAAAGCAGCTACCTATTAAACTGAAACTCAGATCAAGTAGTCATCCCACTCAGCTACGTGCAGACCAAACCCTAAAGGTAAGCACTCTCACCAACCCAAATTACCTTTGACAAATAATAGTTCATAGTCTCTTAGTGATTTATCCCTTTATCCCAGCTTACATAGGGCATTGCGTTAGGTCATTCATCTTAGAAACAATGCCAACTCTTTGCCTTAGTTATACACAAACAGGTTGCACAACTACTTTTCTCTTCATTGGGCATATGATTAAGTCGTTCGTCTTAGAAACAATGCTTAGTCGCCCTGAACTGTTTAAATAACCAAGTTATATATATCTCTCTGAACTTAATCTTCAAAGTGAGCCTAGGGTTGGGCCATTCGTCTTAGAAACAATATCTGGCTAGCCTTGTTCTCATATATATATATATATATATATATATATAAAATTATAAAGAATCATATTTCTTTGTTCTCATTACAGTGTTGTGGCCTCAGACTTAGACTATTCATCTTAGAAACAAAGTCTAGTTCTTTGGCATGAACCTCCATCACAATAAAAAAATCAAAAAGAGTTGAGTCATTCGTCTTAGAAACAATGCTCAACCCCTTTTTTCTCCGCACTAAAAAAAGCAGAGTACTCTGGGTAAAATCCCAGAGACCGTTCAGAAACCACCCAAAATAAACAGCGACCAGATCATTCATCTTAGAAACAATGTATGGTCCTCAAAGTCCAAACAACCAATACTCCACAAAATAAACAGCCATACCATTCATCTTAGAAAAAATGTCTAACACAATTAAATAAACACAGCGACCAAACCATTCATCTTAGAAACAATGCTTGACCCTTCAGAAAACATAACAAAACATAGCAATCAGACCATTCATCTTAGAAACAATGTCTGACCCTATAAGATTCGTTCAAGCGCAAACAAAACTGCCTTCCTCCCAACCTTCCCCCTGATGCAACCCCTTGTTATAATCTGTTTTCATACAACAAAACAAAACTGAAACTGCCATTATATAGACATTCCTTTACTTAGTCTGGTTTACATCCTGAAGGTCAAACCAAAAGTCAAAGCAAGATTGCATACAATACACTCAGTCGATACATAGGGTGATTGTACAGATAGGGGCTATACTGGGTTTATAGAGGGAACGCAGTGGTTACTTTTCAATTTCCTGCCTCCAGAACTCCTCCTGAGTTCTGGCAGAGCTCCCGCAATCGGTGGGATGACTTCACACAAAGTCTTGATGCGGACCTACGGGCTGCAATCCCGCCTGCCGCCTTCCTCTCAGAACCAAACAGACTAGACTTAGAGTAAGAAGGGCAGAGGGAGAAGTATTAAGTCTCTCAGATCCAAGAGGGGTACTCTCAGACTCGCAGGAGAGGGCCTTGATATCTTCAGCGCCTGAGGGCCCCGCAATGGCAGCCAAACCGAAGGAGCTTGGTCAAACTGGAGTCAACTGCTGAACTCAACCCCTCTGTCGAACCCTTAATTCGCAGCAATTGCCCCCTTCGCCACCACTTCCCCAAGCTGCGGCAGCAACCTCTCCCTGCAGTCCAATCACTTTCTGGCCACTATACCTTCGCTTCCCAATACAAAATCGCAGTCTCACTGCTCCAAGCGGCTGCCGTACTTAGCACAGTGCAGTAACCCGCAAAAATCTTGAACAACGTTATAGCAGACTCTACAGTCAAAGATGAGCAGCAAGGTACACAGTTTATGGAACAGCGATATGCTATAGCATAGTGGTACGTGGGATCAGCTACAGCCTGTCGCAGTCATTGTGCACAGTCAGTGAAACAGGCCCATCTACAGCAGGTATAGCCAATACACAACAGCCCGTACGGTCGTCAACCAGCGCAGCAACCCCCAAGGAACACAGTGCTACGCTGCAGCGATCTCAGCAGAAGTTGGCACACCCAATCTTTCGTCAAAACATATTCCTTGGCCTCGCCTTCCCTGATAACACTGCAGCCTCGCCGCCTTGGCCAGTAGCACTTGACACAACACACGCCTCGTATACACTTCCGAAGTACCTCAGCATAGCAAGGGTATGCAACGAAGCGCAACAAAGGTGCAGCTCGCAATAGATGCAGCAACCCCAGCAGTTCGTACGATCGTCCTTAACATGACAATCTACGACAAGCACAACCACCGTTGTAGCAGTAACGCAGCCGAAGTAACCAGTCGTTTAGTAAGTACTCCGCTTAGTAACAAGGTGGCCTACGCCTTAGCCAACAATACTGCCCGACCGTGATGCGTGGAGTACAAAAGTACAGTGGTATCTCCTGCAATCGCATACACCGCCCAATATTACAAGACCCAGCGGTGAAGTAATCAGGCCAGTTCATAACCCCGGAGTAACCCCTCTCAGTCCCACACAGCAACTCCCCTTTTTTTCACCATACTCTGCAGGTAGAGCAGCAACTACCCTGCCAGCAGGCTTACCAGTAGTAGTCCCTCTCGTCACTCTGCGTCCAACTACGATCACTATCGTGGCTGCTTATATCGTGTGGATTAGCACTGTACTCCCTTAATATTCACAACAACGACTCTCTTCTAGGGGGGCTTGACTACCTGTTGAGCCTCCGATTCACAACGTAGTGGTCAATAGGTAAATTCACAACATTGCAACTACACTTTTATCGTCGGTCTACCGTTCTACTACTCGAAGTCGAGGTGAGCAGCCCTCTGCCCGCAGGTAAACAATCACTCCTATAGTTGCCTTCCCTCCGTTCTACTCTCGAAAGAATAAACAAAGTTGTGAGCGAATTTCCCACTAATCGTGACCAGATACATCCCGTTTGAACCCTCCATCCCATAGGTAAGTCTTCAAACTCATCCCTCGCTTTTTACTTCTACGCCTATGACAAAACGTCCAACGCCTCGATTAGTCAGGCACACCCACACTTCCAGTAGACTTCGTACTATCTACTCCTGCTGGTTGGGCAAAACCGACGGGCTTCTTCCCTGCAATCTGAACGAATACACTGCCCCGCCTGAAATCGCTGCCCTCCACGCGTTGCCCTCAGCTCCTTCAATGCTCCAACATTCCTATGTCGCCGCCCGCTGGCCTCGACCCTCGTACCTTCGCAATAACAGTTCGATATCATAACCTATAGGGCTAAGCCGAAGCCAGAGACCTGCAGGCGTGGAAACCCATATATGAAGCGGTGCAGTGCCGCGCTTGGGCCAAAACTCGGCCTGGGCCTCCTATCTACCCCGCGGCCATGCGTGCAACCGCCAGGCTTCCGCACCAGCTTGTGCAAACTGTGTTATGACTACTGCGCGCGCCATCCCGCATGCCAAGACTACCGCCGGTCAAGCATGTGGGACAAAACCAAAACGAGAACTTTCAAATTCCTATCTTATTCTAGTATCTAAAATTTCATACCCCGAGCATCGCGACCCACAACCAAAAATAAAAAATCACACGCACATCTTGAACTTACGCGCTCACACATCCTCTATCCTAGCCAATGTAGGTTACAAACGTGGCCACTCCTCGCGTGGCACTCTCAGACCTTTATCCGAACTTATTTTCTGTCACTTGCAAAAACCAAGGCGGATATCCATGTAAAGGTATTCGCGCCGACACCGGTTTATTTACTCACAGGTTCAATCAGTTCATAAAAGACACGGGCTTCTTGAGTCAAAAGTGAATAAGAAAAACAAAAGCGTCAATAATTTGCAAAAAAAAAAAACATGCAAACTACATGTCAACA